GGCAATGCTTTCCCCTCTTCCTGAGGATGGGGTGAGCGCCCTACACACACTGACCACTAGGTGCGGTTTCAATCAAAGATAGTTAGGGAAGTATCCTTGGGCAATGCTTTCCCCTCTTCCTGAGGATGGGGTGAGCGCCCTACACACACTGACCACTAGGTGCGGTTTTAATCAAAGATAGTTAGACAAGTATCCTTGGGCTATGCTTTCCCCTCTTCCTGCCGCTAGGCACAGCTTCAATCAAAATAGGAATGAGCAGAGCTTTCTCTTCTCTTCTGAAGAGGTGTCTCATATACCGACCAATGGTGTGCAAAACATACTGGGTGACCCCCTCCGAAACCCAAGGACACCTGGTAAGCATCCTTGGATACAGTAAGCATTCCAAAACAAGGATTCTTTCGCATAAGATAAGGATACTCAGAAACCAGTCATTTGTGAAAAACAAGTTATATAAGTGACCATAAAGAGAAAAGAAAAAGGGGGGTAAAAACCATGATATGCAGGTTTTTACCCTTAATGCAATGATATTATAGGTGAATCGTGGACGACGTATCTGAATCTCAGGATGATCAGTCCATACACGATCAGAATCAATCCACACCTCAATCACCTCATATGTATGACAGTAACAGGACAATGATTAATTCTAGGCACCGTAGTTGTCCAGAAATTCGTCCTAATACAATGTCCGAATGCCAGAAAGAGACGTGTGATTCGTTACTCCACAGAACACGTTTCCACTGCTCCAGAGTCCAGTGGTGGCATGCTTTACACCACTCCATCCAACGCTTGGCATTGTGCTTAGTGATGTGAGGCTTGCATTCAGCTGCTTGGCCATAGAAACCCATTCCATGAACTCCCAGCTCACAGTTTTGTGCTGGGGTTAATGCCAGAGGAAGTTTGGAACTCTGCTGTTATTGAGTCAGCAGAGCTTTGGCGACTTTTACGCACCATACACCTAAGCCCTCGACGTCTGCCTTTTCATGGCTTAGTTTCTGTTGTTCCTAAATGCTTCCACTTTGCAATAACACCACTTATAATCGATTGTGGAATATCTAGCAGGGAAGAAATTTCACAAACTGACTTTGCAAAGGTAGCATCCTATGACAGTACCAGGCTTAAATGCACTGTGCATGAATGGGTCGATTCTTTCACAAATATTTGTAAACCTGACTGCACGGCTGGGTGCTTGATTTTATACACCTGTGGCAATGGGTCTGAATGAAACCCCTGAATCCAGTGGTTAAGAGGTATGTCCCAATACTTTCATCCATATAGTTTATCACAGGACATCACAAAGGGAGCTTTAGTGTACAGACGTGCCCAAGCTGAAGCCCAGGGACCTCTGCTAAAAAAAAAGCCTCAACCAATATTTTAAAATAATATTTTAAACCTGGAGTTGCCACCCATCCCGGATATAGCGGCTCATCCTGCCTCATCCAGGCAGTCCCCAGGTTAAGAATGAGTTCTGTTCCTCTGTCTATAAGTCAAATTTGTAGGTAAGTCGGAAAAATAATAAATACGTAGTGATAATGAAAGCAAGACTACGGTTCTACACCTCGAGCTGACAAAGCACTGCAGCTGCATGATGTTTTCATGAGCATCACAAAGTAGTGTGTGCGTTCGTTATTAAGAACCATTGTATTTCACCTGAAAGTATAGAAACTCCACACACACAAGGAGAGTATGCAAACTCCACACACACACACACAAAGGGGAACATGCAAACTCCACACACGCATGCACACGCACACGCACACGCACACACACACACACACACACACACACACAAGAACATGCAAACTCCACACTCGTATCCAAAGCAGGAGTCAAAGCCACAAGCCAGGAACTGCGAGGCCACACAGTTACCTGCTGAACCACCATGCTTCCTCTGCACATACAACCATACAGTTCAGAAAACAAAATTAGCATTAAACATAGAAGTGTCACGCCCAGCTCCGTACGATCCTCGTGTGTGCCACGCCCACCTCGTTACCTCGTGTTTATGCCTGATTGTTCTCCCCTGTTGCTCATTAAACTCAGCTTGTCTTGTGTATTTAGTCCACGTCTCGGTTAGTTTTCCCCAGATCTGTCATCGTCGATACCTTATGTGAGTACCAGTCCTGTCTGTTTGACCTTAATAAACCCCGTTCTTCCATCAGCCTGGCTGCTCTCGCCTCCCTTGCCTGCTCGCCGCTCGCACAGTGTGACAAGAAGCATCTTCTAAAATCATTTTATGTAAATGCGACCCCAACATTATATCACAGTGTATTCCACATTTTCAGTTTCTGTTTGCTTACATTTCCATTCAAAAACTGTATTTATTTAACCTTTCTAAAGGATATCTGATAAAAATTCAATGTGTGCAGAGGAGATACTGTGGTATTTTCAGATTAGGATATCTTTCTACTTTTCTGTAAATCCCTCACTGTGTTCTATGCTTTCACTTGCCTCATTACAGTAAATGTACTAATAAGGCTATACTGTACAGTATATTGAGTAGAAGAGCTGTCATTTCACAAGGTCCTGACAGTTATTATGCAGCAAGTCAAATGAGAAAAATACAGAAAATTGAAAATATGTTCTGGTACGATATGTACTCCTTTGATCACAGGTACAAATTTATTCTGTAAGAATCAAGACATGTTTGTAAACACTGTTACTCAAGGTCATGTTCATAAACTTAATACATTTAAATGAACATAATTGAAGTAATTTCACGAAACAGGGACAGGTTGGAACAACCCTCTGAAATTAAACATATGTTTGTGGGCATGATTTACACAGTAATATTTCACAAAGAGGAAAAATTGGAGAAAAGTGACCTACATTGTTATCTTTGGGTATGCAATTATGAACTGAAAGACTGATAGATAAATCACACCATTTGTATTAACCTATTGCAGAAGAGGGCAGTTCCATCAAAGGATCAGCTTGCAGTGAACAGAAGGTTAAAATCTAATAATGCTGAAAACAATCCTATTAATGCACATTTATTGGTACAAAGAACACATGCAATCGATTGCTGAGCAGTGTGCAAGCTAGAGGTGATCAGCTTCATCATGAGGAATTGTACTAAGCAGACATAGAAATACCCACCAAATTAATAAAAAGAGCTAAATATCCCTGGCTGACTGGTTCCAGGAGGATTCTGCTGGTCCCAGGTCTCTGAACTAGTAGCACAGAGTGTACCTTACTCCCTAAAAAGCAACTTCAACAATTATCAATATAGATCAAAAATTTGAACATATTCAGAGCAGAAGAAGCAGGAATCATCCTGGCAGCTCTTTGGTGACCTTTTTGTGTTTGTGTCAGTGTTGAGGGGGTGAGGGGTGTCCTGGGACCCCCTATAAGAAAGGAAATGTGAATCTGTGGAGAGGGGGCTTTAAAATGACCATGTTACAAAATTCATTGGCACCCCAACCTCCCAGGAGCTCCAACATTAGTTAGTATATCCATATATTTTAATGTCAGGCACCTGATCAAGGTGTGTTATTCACAGGAGTGTCTTACTGTTAGGTTAACTGCCTTAATAGGGAAATAGGGGTCTAACCATCTGGAAAGATATTGCCCCCATCTGAAAAGGAATGCTTCACTGCAGGATGCTGGTGGGTACTCTGAATGGTGCTGCATTCTTCTGCATGCACCATGCTCTAGCAGACAGAACCCAAGCCAGTATAATGTGAAAGAGTGCTTCATATGGGAAAACATGCAGTGGGTCTGCAGGTATCTTTGGGGGTTTACCTCACAAAAGTGAAATGTTATGTGCAGATAATTAATTTCAATTATATTTTATCATAAATCAGAAAACATTTATTGTCCTGGAGGAAATTGTTTGTGAGACTGCACATTAGACAACTACACAAGAAAAATATAGACAGTACACAGTACCACATACAACAATCTCTGAATAAAAATGAGTAACTTTGTCATATATAGATGATGAATAAATAGGCGGATGTTCAAGTACGATACAAAGGTAATATATAAATAGATATTGATTAAAAATAGGTATCATTGTACATATTATCGCACATCCTGATTGATTTGCCTATTATACAATCTAATGTCTATCTGAAGGAATGATTTCCTCAGGCGTTCTCTGGTGCATTGTATGCTGATCAGTCTGTCACTGAAAGTTCTCTCAATATGGGAGACACAGTGGCTCAGTCGATGGTACAGCTGGCTCACACTTTTAGAAGTTTAGGGAACTGTGTGTGTTAAGTAAGTCCATTCTGAATGACACACAGATTCCCATCCTGAAGTTCCTATATTGTGGGTTGTTCCCCACCTTGCCGCCGTATCCTCTGGAATAGGCAATGGACCCCCTGTGACCCTGAATAGGACAAGCGGTTTCAGAAAATGGATGGAATCCCTATATTGCCCCTAGTGTATGACTGTTGGAATGGTATCCCATTCAGAGCCTTGCCACCTATGTTACCTGAAACCAGATTCAGTATAACACCCCCCTCCCCATCATTTAGGAAAATGAGTGGATGCATTTTGAGAATAACCACCTAAAATCCTGTCTATTTAAGTTCGGTGTTGCTATTTATTTTCAGATTAAAGCGTTTTACACAGATATCTTCGAAAGAGCTATTCAGTTAGTGTCGAAATGCATTATTAACCGGCATGCTTTGCGGCCAGGTGTCCGTCAAAGAAGGTCGTCGTCTGATTGGCTATTGTTCGGGAGGCGTTTCCGTTCAGTACCCGGTGTATGCGGGGGGAAGCCGCTTTCTCCCACCGTGGGGAGTGACAGCCCAACCGGAAGAGTGTTACGTTCACCGCCGCCGTCATTACTGTTATGTAATTCTGAATTATTAGTTAAAAGTTATTTTATACAGATAATAGAAGGGCAGCTTCGGTCGAGGATATATAGACAGATATATATATCAGCTATCGACGGTGGGTAGACAGGAGCAGCGCTGCGTCCCCTGGAGCTGTATGGCAGGAGCGCCAGTAACGGGTAATTTAACGTGTATAAAGTACATTTTGACTTGAATGACGTCCTGGTAACACCAAAGAGCCCAGTTTCACGCCTGTTCTTTATTAATAAGTGTCCGGGCAGCGTGCTAACTGATCGGTAGCGCCTCGGCTAACAGGCTAAATCTGTAGCAGGGGTATTTATTTTCGGGAAAGTTGACAAAAGTGCATACTATAAATAACGTAATCAAGTTGAAAGTGGTTTGGGGTTTCGGGGAATGGTTTGGCTCTCTTCAGGAGGTAAAACTCTCTAAGAGGTTGAACTTGCTTCTTCCACAGAAGATCCTGTGCAGGTCTTATAGTTGGTGTTAAGTAGCATACGGCACATTCAAATACTGTTTGTTTACATTAATAAAATACTTAAACTAAATGCTATGTGATTATATTCTTGTTATAAATGACCTGTTACATAAGAAATAGGCGTGAGCAGTAGGTAAAGTGCTTTTAAACATTAACACAAGGTACTTAAAAGAAAAAAACAAAATGTATCCTTTTTGTCCATAAAAAGTTATGTCTTCTGTTTAATACGGTGCTTTGTTTGGGAGCTTAAAAACGTGTTTGTGCAAACGTCTTTTCTGTTTAAGTCTATAGCTGGATAATTTTTAAAAATGATTTCTTAAATGTTAGAAGCACTGGAGTTGAATCCGGAGTCAGCAGAGTTTGTTCCACGGGAAAGGCACAGCCATAACCAGCCAAGAAGAGGCAGACCCAGGCCTGACCGTGGCCGTACCTGGAGTGGCCAGCAAGCTGCTTCCTATCCACAGCGCAGTAATGGGCTAAACGGCCCAGAGAGGGAGCCACCCTTCCATATTAGGGAAGACGGAAGAAGGGGGAGAGGTGGAGGGGAGAGGGCAGGAGCCTCACGCCGGCACAATCCCCAGGGCCAGCGGTGGACCAGAAGTGACGCGTGCGCGCAGGTAGAGGCTGCCAGAGCACCCACGGGAGACATCCGCAAGGAGACGCCTCCAGCCCACAGACCTCACATAGACGGGCCCAGCTGGCGGAGAAGTGAGGGGCGGGAAATCGGAGAGGAGCCCGGAGAGACTCATGTCAGGAGACCCAGGAGGTTCAGCCAGGAGCCCAGCAGTGAGAGTGATGCAAGGAAGGCCCATCGCAGTGGGAGCCAGGAGGAGCGTGCCGGCAAGGATCAAGCAGACCGCCCTGCATCTAGAGAACCGACTGGCCAGGTGGATAGTGGCGTGCCAGACAGGAAGGGGTGTGGCAATGGAAACAGGAAGGCCCACTTTGATCAGAGGAGAAGGGGCACAGCTCCCAGGCACTGGCAAAGAGGGGGTAAGGATTTCCCCCAAGATCGTGACAGGGACAGGCATAGCCCACCCACATGTGAGATGCCAGATTCTGGCGGGGGGGGCTACCTGAGCCGGAGGGGCAGCCGGGGCCAAGGCAGAAGAACTCCCCAAGGGGATAGAGGGCAAAACAGTGAGAGGAGGTCAAACAAGCTGGACCAGCGACCAAGGCGGGGGAAGCAAGTGGACGTTTCCAAGAGCAAGGAAACACACACAGGTGAGTGGTGCTCTCTGGGGCTTTCCCGGGTGGACTATTTCGGGCCGTTTGTGGGCCTTCACTCAAGTGCCTAACAGATGTGGCTACTCTACCAAGCACAGGATTCAAACACACAACCTTCTGATTACAGACTCTGGGGCCTAACGCACCAAACCACCCCAGTAACGTCAGAGCACTGTGATGTAACTGAAGTAATCAGTCATTAGTGAGTCTGACCTGTTGCTGTTCCCACAACAAAGTTTCAGCTCTCTCTCCGGCTTCTCGCTCGCTCAGGGTGTCTCATCGAGCAACTGTCGGAGGAGAAGTACGAGTGCATGGTGTGCTGTGAGGTGATCCGCATCATGGCGCCTGTCTGGAGCTGCCTGAGCTGCTTCCATGTCTTCCACCTCAGCTGCATCAAAAAGTGGGCCCGCTCACCAGCCTCACAGGCAGACGGTACCCAGCCCCTCCCACCGGACCCTCAGTGGCACTCTGAGCATGGATAGGGGGTCGGCATGCAGGATTACTGATTATCTAGTCGTTTGTCATGTGCCGGGAGTGATTGGAGATTTCACAGTTCAATCTCATAGTTTTGTTATGATGTTAAGTTCCTTTGATCATCATTTAAGGCTATATGGCTTTTGGGAAACATGTCCCATCGTTTTTGCCAGCCCTACCTTGTAAAGCCAGGGTAGAAGAGTCCAGCAAGCTTACTGATTGATGTCAACAAAGGATCAGTTTTGTAGGTCCTGTCCCACTAAGTAGTTTTGACATCTTTTACCTTTTAATGGTTTATAAGGTTGACTTTGCTGACCGTTGCTGATTTTCGTGGCGTCTTTTTGCAGATGGAAATGGAGGTTGGAGATGCCCGGCCTGCCAGAACGTCGAGGCTCGGGTCCCTAACTCCTACGTGTGCTTTTGTGGTATGTTTTCACTTCTCTTCCTAAAGTAGATTCCTGTTTGGATCCTGACTGTATCTCATGTTTACCTCAGGCAGTAGAGTTAGCTTCTGTGCTACCCACTAATTTTCTGGTGGAAACTTAGAATGACAACGTGATTCATCTAGTACTGTAATTGTCCTTCAGAAGTCAGCATTCTCCTTTCTCCAAACACCTTTGTGGAAGTACAAAGTTCTGTAGATGTTCATAAAAATGTCTAGTTTTAAGCAGCCTAAGGGGTGAAATTCTGTGTTTAAGAGTATTAAATGCAATGTAGTGTGGATAACGTTCTGTTAGAAGTGATGTTTGTGAAGTATTACATCCTTTCTGGATGGCATCATTCATACTCCTGTCTCTCATGCTGTGGACAGGGAAGGTGACAAACCCAGAATGGCAGCATGGTGAGATTCCGCACAGCTGTGGCGAGATGTGCGGCAAGAAGAGGAGCGGCGTGGACTGCAACCACCCGTGCAACATGTGAGCAGCCACAAATAGCTGCAGCATCTGTGTGCCGGCGCCCCCTGTGGGCAGAGCTGAAATTACTGCAATGCCCATAGTGACTGAATCTGCAGGAGCCTGGGGATGTCTGTGCACCCTTCTTATATGTGTTATACTAAGAGGAAGTTGCCTTAAGAGGGCGCCATTGTGGCCCAGTGAGTAGTACTGTATTGTTGGTGGTTCAAATCTCGCCTCCTGTCCTGACCAGCATAAGTAGGTAAGACTGCAATAAAGTAATGTCAGGATTTATTTTTGACCTGGTAGCTCTGGACAGTGTCTCATTTTGAGGTGCTCTGTGCCCTGTGTTTGGAGGGGTAGTGTATGTATAAAGGCTTTAAACCAAACACCTCCGTGGAAATGCAACGCCACCCTGGTGATATTAACGCTCTGTGTATCCCTGCTCGTCCCCAGCCTGTGTCACCCGGGGCCCTGCCCGTCGTGTCCCGCCTTCGTCACCAAAGCCTGCGTCTGTGGGAGGACCAGGTGAGGAGCCTCTCTGGGAGGATCTGAAAAGCCAAAATCCAGATGAAGGGAACCTTTATTATGTAACAGACATGTGCCATGGTGACACACCCCTCCCCCCCCTTCCTCTATCGCCCCCTTCCAGTCAGCCTGTGCGCTGCGGTCAGGCTTCAGCCATCTGCTGTGAGCAGGTGTGTGGGGCCCAGCTGAACTGCGGGCAGCACAACTGTACTCAGGTGTGCCACAGCGGGGGCTGCCAGCCGTGTCAGCACCGCGCCAAGCAAGGTGAGGTGGGGGGCTGGCAGGGGTCTTTTGCTTCCAGTAGGGGTCTATGTCCTATACGGGTGTTTGTAGGTATCGTTAGAAGGAAGTTCAAAATAAACATTGCAGTATACATAGTAATAGAGAATGGGTGATGATCCATCCATCCATCTTCGAAGCACTAATCCTGGTCAGGGTTATGGGGGCCTGGACCCTATCCCAGGCAGCACAGGGCACAAGGCCTGGGTACATCCTGGATGGGATGCCAGTCCATCACAGAGGACATATATGCACACAATCACACATTACGAGTGGTTTAGAGATTCCAGTTAGTCTAACTGCATGTCCAGAGGGAAGTGGAGTACCCCGAGAGAGCCCACACTACACACACAAACTCCACACACAGAGCAGGTAGGATTTGATAAAGATGAATGTTGTTTAATCACAAACCAAGCTTATTTAGTTGAACAGTTGGCAATGTTCCTGCGGGGAATTCCTCATTTCTCCTTGTTGATTTCTCCTGCTCTCTGCTTCTGGACACTGCAGTCTGCTACTGCGGAGGCCTTTCTCAGGATGTCCTGTGTGGAACCAACCGGGACAGCTTTGACGGCTTTGGCCACTTTTCCTGTCAGAAGCCGTGCAGCAAGTAAGAGCCGAATCACCTGCTTTTTAGTGACGGTAGTTTGTCATGTGACTTCCTGTTAGGCCACTTCAGTGTTGGTGCTGTCAATCTGCCCTTCAAGCTTAGAGACAACTGTGGTCGAGTTTACTGTACTCACTGCCCCGTACCGAGGTCGGCTTTGCTGTACTCACTGCCCGATCCCGAGGTCGGCTTTGCTGTACTCACTGCCCGATCCCGAGGTCGGCTTTGCTGTATTCACTGCCCGATACCGAGGTCGGCTTTGCTGTACTCACTGCCCCGTACCGAGGTCGGCTTTGCTGTATTCACTGCCCCGTACCGAGGTCGGCTTTGCTGTACTCACTGCCCCGTACCGAGGTCGGCTTTGCTGTACTCACTGCCTGATACCGAGGTCTGGTTCACCACATTTCGTCTCTCACCCCCAGATTACTGGACTGTGGGAACCATCAGTGTCAGCAGCCCTGCCACCCTGGGCCCTGCTCGTCTTGCCCCCTGCTTCCCCGCTCGGTGCGCACCTGCCCCTGTGGCCAGACGGCTCTGTCCAAGCTCCTGGAGTTGGGCTACGCCGAGCGCCAGAGCTGCACCGATCCCATCCCTTCCTGTGGCAAGACCTGTGGCAGGCCCCTACCTTGTGGGTCAGACGGTGAGCCAATCGCAAGCTGAGGGGGTGGTGCTTGTTCTGAGTGACTGCTTGGTTAGCTTGTCATTGTATTTGTAAATGTTATTGGGGGTGTAGCTGACAACCCCTATCTGTGTATGTGTCTATGACTCACGGAGAGCAAGATAGGAATTCCCCACCTGAATGAATAAAGTATGACTACTATTCTCTCCTCAGATGTCGTGCACATGTGTGAGAGCTTGTGTCACGAAGGCAGCTGTGGACCCTGCTCCCTCACGTCCACCATCAGGTGCCGATGTGGCTTCAGGACGAAGGTGAGCTGGCGATGCCGGGAGAGTGCAGCGAAGCGGGGCGGCCCTCATTCTGCGGGTCGCGGTTTGGTTGCCAGTCTGTATGCAGTCTGAGTACCTCTGTAGTGAAAATGCTTTATTTTGTTTTTTAGGAAGTTCCCTGTCTGACGATCCAGAGTGAAGGTGAGTGTTCAGCGTCTGATGCCTTTAGCTGACCTGAGGGTGTCACAGAGATTCAGGATGGGGGGGGGGTTCTGCTCTCTGTTCAGTAAATGGCCCTGAGGTCTAAGGGAGTCTCTTCTGCTGTGTTAATGTTGTGTCCAGGATCATATGCAGGTACCAAAGGGGCACTGGCCCCAGCTGAGAGCTGATTGGTCCCTGGAGCGCTCCCTCTACATCACTTACTGATTCAAAACATGTCATTGGCTAATGATAAGGTCGGCCGCTGTGAATAATAGCCCCTCTTATGCCCCCCACCTTAAAAACATCTTCGAACCTCCCCTGATTGGGTCCAGCATAACTCTTGATACAGTGTTTCCCCTTGGTTTACAGCTTGGGGAGGGGAGGGGCGGCAGACAGACACCGACAGGATTAATGGTGTTTATGTGTTTCTTTTAATGACAGCAGTCAATATAACAACTGAACTAAACATCAGAACATTTCTTTTTATGACAATTACCCACAAAGTGTGCAGCTTTTGTCACTGCAGTGTATCTTTCTGGGCTTCTGGAAGAACATTTCCAGAGCCTTGATATGGGAAGTCAGAAACGTCTGGCCCATTTACTGAGATCCGCATGCAGGCTGCAAGATGGTCTCCTTGCAGCCTATTGCAAATACATTAACTATTAGGCTTTAAAAGTGATAGCTGATAGCTTAAAGTAGTGATAGTTTAAAGCAGAAAATCCCATTGTGAGACGTATTTATTACCCTGTTCATGGTTGAGTCCGAGTCCCTCTCACAGTTTACACTGCTGACCGGGTGGTTGGCGCGACATATTTTCCGACGCGCGCTCTCTGTCCGCTGGTGGGAGTCTGCTCACCTGTGTGTGCGTGCACGTGTCTGTGCACGCGCATCAGGGCGGAACTCTGCCATACAGAATAGTGAGAGCAGAGGAGAATTGTAAACTTGCGACCGTGTAGAGACAAAAATGACAAACTGTTGTGTAAATAAGGTAAATAACATAAGACTATTTAGTTTGTTTAATAAAAGACCTGTTCTATAGGAAAGGTAACCTTAAATGAATTCTGTTGTGATCTGGTGCTATATAGAAATAAAATAAAATTAACTTGACCTTCAAGGGGGGGGCATGAGGTGCCGTTGGGTGGGCAGGGCGCCCCCCTAATATAATTGTAGGGGAAACACTGCTTGACATATTTTTTATTTTTTTCTTACAACTTTGTTTTTAAACTCCGCCTCTCCGCTCCAACCCCATCTTTCTTATTTCTTCACTTTTCTCCTGTCTGGCAGCTTTAGCAGAATCATGGTCTGAATGCACTGCTGAATGCACTGCTGAATGCACTGCTGAATGCACTGCTGAATGCACTGCTGTGCTTTACCCTGAGGGGCTCTATAAACTCTGTATAGTCCCCTCATGTCGATCGATTTCTTTTTACTTTATTTATTACATTTTTAGCACATGTAAAATATTGCAGTGACTGAGCTGGCTGAAGAGGGGGGGCAGATTAGGAGGGGGAAGAAAAAGAAAGGAACAAAAAGAAAACGAGTAAGTGAGAAAGATAAGCCAACAACGATAGGAGTAAAGTACAAAGCGTATAATCTCCAATTGCTGCATCTGTAAAGGAGAGGGAAGGAGAAAAAAGGCAAAAGATCAACAGCATCTGAAAGAAGTGATAAACACCTAAACACAAACAAAAATAAAGAATAAAGTAAGACTTGCTTGGAGGGGTGCGTGTGAGTGTATGTACATGCGTGCTCAGCTGTGTAGGCGAGATGTGCGGCCTTGTGTGCGTGTGTTTGTAACCCCATCTGACCTCCCTGGCAGGCGAGCTCACGTTCACCTGCGATCGACGCTGCAGTAAGAAGCGTGCCTGCGGCCGGCACAAGTGCCCAGAAGTATGCTGTGTGGTAAGCGGCAGGGGAGGGGGGTGGCGGAGTGGCGCCGGGGGCCGTCAGCGTGTGCCAATCGGGTCGTTTGGCCTAATCACAGCTTTGTCACCCTGCCCCAGGACCACGAGCACCGCTGCACATTTATCTGTGGCTACAAGCTGAACTGCGGCCTGCATCGCTGCCAGGAGCCCTGTCACCGCAGCAACTGCCAGCCATGCTGGCAGACAGGTGAGTCTCGGCGTGAAGCCGTGTGGCATCCGTGTGGCATCCGTGTGGTGTGGCGCATGCCGATCTGACGGACCTTTCTCAGGCTTCGACGAGCTAACCTGCCACTGTGGGGAGACGGTCATGTACCCGCCCATCCCCTGTGGCACCAAGCCTCCCGAATGCAAGAACCCATGTGCCAGGATGCATGAGTGCGAGCACCCAGGTGGGAGCCAGCGCCCCCTTGTGGCCCACATGCAGTCTTCCATCTAATCATGCTGTTTATTGGTGTTTGTAAGTGGAGATGCTGTACTGGGTTATTAACTGGGTTATTGCTGTCTTCTGCCCTCTAGTGCTTCATAACTGTCACAATGAGGAGAAGTGTCCCCCCTGTACCTACCTCACTAAGAAGTGGTGCATGGGAAACCATGAGGTGAGCTGGGGAGGCTGTTCCCTCTCAGATCTCTGATCAGCGTGCCTTAGTAAGGCCTGGTTCATGCTGACTGCGGATGTGTCACAGTGCACGCCGCACTCCCACACCCTTCGCATTCCTGAATACCATGCGTTGTTGGTATTAATATCGCATGTCGTCCAGTCCTATGATATACTATAGCCATTTTTGTAATGCAGCACTAAATACCCGCCTTGTGTTGTGTGGAGTTTGCTGTTCTCGCATTGCCATTGTGGGATTTCACTGATGAATTATGATTAAAACACATCTCTTCTATCCATGTTGGAATAACTTTGAATTCAGCTAAGCTGTGACTTTGTATATTACAAAAATGATTCTTGTTCTCTAATTTTGACTGTATATAATCCCGTGGTGAGGAATTGTATACATGCTGGTATTTCCTGATTTCCACACAATCTTTGGTCTTATCTCCTTTCTTTCTGCTGCTGTTCAGTGATCAGTGACCAATCAGGATGGATTTGTGTCACAAAACCGATCGTGTTGAGCCTGTGTGGTGGTCAGAGCGGCTCCTGTTGGTGTTAATGAGGGGGGGTGACTCTCCTGCTCTCTCCCCCCTTTCCTTCCAGCAAAGGAGTAACATCCCCTGCCACATCTCCGACATCTCCTGCGGCCTGCCCTGCGGCAAGGCCCTTCCGTGCGGCACGCATCACTGCCAGCGGCTGTGTCACCGCGGCGAGTGCCTGGCCGAGGCCGGCTGCCGGCAGCCCTGCCCGGCGCTCCGGCCAGACTGCGGGCACCCCTGTGGAGCCCCCTGCCACACGGGCTCCCCCTGCCCGAGGATCGGCTGCAGTGCTGAGGTATGCGGCCCGGAAACCTCTCGGCTCCTCGGCGACGGTGTGACGTGCTGTTTGTATGGAGCGCTGCCACCGGCCTGCAGGGAACAGCCTGTTATTAATGTTAATGAGTGACTGACTGTTTCCCTGAGCCCGGTGTGTGTGGAATTTGTTAGTTCTGTCTATGCTGTGTAGCTCAGTGGGTTAGGAGGCTGTGCCTGTGATTAGAAGGTCGCTGGTTCAAAACCCAGAGCCTGTAGAGTGAGTGAGGCTTAGTGTGTTTCTAGCATGTACTACTTCCTCTAAATTGCCCTTTCTGTGTCCCTGTGACCCTGCCCACTGTATACAGTTATGGAGGATATGTGGATGATAAGCTGTTTTCATTCACAGTCAGATGCCTTACTGCAGGGGTGTCAAACTCCAGTCCTGGGGGGGCTGGAGCCCTGTGTAGCTTAGTTCTTTCCCTGTTCCACCACAAATGATTCAGCTCAACAGCTGTGTGGTTATTAGCACGAGTTGAATCGGGTGTGTTAAATGAGGGGAAACCCAAAAATGTGCAGGGCTCCGGCCCCCCAGGACTGGAGTCTGACACCCGTGCCTTACAGGATATATTGAGCTTTCTGTAATGTCTGTGTTGTGCCTCTAGGTGGTGCTGTATTGCGACTGTGGCCGCAGGAAGGAGACGGTCATCTGCGTCGATGCCTCCAGCTCCTACCAGAGGTCAGTATTGCAGCGTTGAACTGACAGTACTGTCAGCAGGTTTATCGTGGGTTAGTAAAACATCGATTCCGGTCTTATTGGGCTGCAGTGTGCAGTGTTTCCCTTGCTTGTTTACAGCAGGGCCTGCATTAAGGGTTGCAAGGCTGCTTTTTTATTTTTTCTCAAATTGTTTTAATTTTTTCAAAATCCGTTTTTTTGGATTTATTTTGATCTGTTTTCTTTTACAAATACAGACTAACAATTAAAAATGCTTTTTAATTTACTAAAAATGTAACTGAGCTGGTCAGTTAAAATAAAATTTAAGCTTATGAAGCAGGTCGGACACCATTTTGTCTTATTAATGATTAGCAGTTTGAGTCGTGGTCGGGTTGAATAAAAGCATCATTGGATCCTACACCACATTGGGGAGACAAAAGGCTAAAAGGGCCGATTTGGGGGGGCATTCTTAAAAACATCAGACCCCCTGGGAAGTGCCCTGAGTTCCTGCGGTGGAAATGAGCCTTATGGTTACTAGGCAACATCCTTACACTCATTTGGCCAGATTTGGCTATGGCGGAGTCCTTCTACACTGCCCGGCCAAAAAAAAAGTTGCCATTTGAATTTGTCGTTGGACCGCCTTTAGCTTTGATTATGGCGCCCATTTGTCATGGCATTGTTTCCACAGGCTTATGCAACATCTCACCCTTTATTTTAATCCATATTTGCATTAATTTCTCACCGAGATCCTGTATTGACAAGTGAGTTGAACCACTCCATAAAGCCTCCTTCAGCACATCCCAAAGACTTTCAGTGAGGTTAAGGTCACAGCTCTGTGGTGATCAAGTCACGCGTGAAAATGATTCCTCATGCCCCCTGAACCAATCTTTGACAATTCGAACCCAGTGAATCTTGGCATTCTTGTCCTGGAATATGCCCATGCCAACAGGGAAGAAAAAATCCATTGATGATAGATGGAGGAGTAACCTGGCCATTTAGTAGATTCAGGTACTCAGCTGACTTTATTACTTCATAATGTTGCTGAGCTGTAATAATGATCCAGTCATTGACTCTTAAGTATTTGCTGATATAAATTCAAATGGCGACTCTTTTTTTGGCTGAGTAGTGCATTAAAACGTCTTCGGCAGTGCCTGCTGCGGGGGTATTTTACACATGTGAAAAAAGTCATAGGTTTAAAATGTCAGCACAATTTCCACAAATACTGCGTGATTCCGCATGTATAAGTAAGTACCATTTCCATGCCTTGATTCTGTGATTCCATCTGTGTTTTCCGCTTCACGGAAATCATAGGGCCCTGAGTGGGGTGGGGTGGGGTGTGGTGGGGGGGCGTGGCTCAGTGAGTAGCACACTTGCCTCAGACCTCCGGGGTTCAAATCCCACCTCTGCTCTATGTGCTTGGAGCTGGCATCTTCTCCTGTACATCTGCACATGATGGATGGGAGAGAGCAGCATCTGTAGCTGCCTCTGAGACACGGTCTGACACGCGTGCATTAGGAGTGTAGCGGTTCACCTGTTCCTACCGAAAATTTCTGATACGGGTCTTTTGATTCAGTGCACATATGTACCAAACAAATGCAGCAAATGCGGAACATTTGCGTGTTTGTTTCCCCCGTGCAACATTCGGAGGGGGGCGGTTGAATCCGCACCACTACGCATGCACGCGTACATCCTAATGTGAAGCTGGAAGCTGTTAATGTGAATACAAGTACGGCACAGGTATTTTTTTAATGCTGCACGATAATGGATATTTATTTTGTTATGCTTTGTATTTTTGAGACAATATTTGTGTTACACAGTTCTAATATGAAGCTGAAAGCTGCTAATGTGAATACAGTACAAATCAGGTACAGTTCATTTTCTAAATATGCACTTCATTGATTTATTTGGTTGAGAATTTTTATTTTGATTTACTTTTAAGTAAATTTTATATTTTTATTGGTAGATTGCAGCAGTATTGACAGAGACTTTTAGACAGTCATATTTTGTTCAGTATTTTTTAAAAAAAGAAGAGCAATTTGTTTTGTTTCTTTTACCCCCATGGTACCAAAAACCGAATCGTGTCTTAACCAACCTAGGTATATACCAAACCATGATTTTTGTGTACCGTTGCACCCTAACGTAGATTGGTTGCAGTGGACAGGTCAAAACAACAGTGGATATAACAAACATGGATATGCCCACATAGTCACTCTGTTTGGCTGCCTTTCTGCCTGTGTATGTGCCCTGTGATGGACCCGCATCCCATTCATGATGTACCGCTGCATCGTGCCCTTCATTCCCGAGGATTGGGGCCAGTCCCCCCCCCGCAACCCTGCTCTGCATAGGAGTTTGGAAGATGGATGTTCATTGTTATTCAGATTAGCAAAGTTCGAGTACACAGTGAATGTACAGGTGTGTAGCGTAGGTGATGAACACCTTCTTAGGCCTGATTGATGGGTGTCACCCAGCAGGACTGCAGCCATCGTCATGGCGAGCAGACTGTCCGACATGCAGCTCGGTGACACTGTGGACATCGGACAGCTCATCACCAAGAAGGAGGTGAAGCAGGCTCGGTGAGTGTGTGTCATCGCTGACGGTGTCCTCACCCTGGTATCAACGTTTTCATATTAAGAAATGCACAGAAAATATTACAGAAGCATGTCAGGTGTGTATGCTTGTATGTGTATTGTATATGTTGTTTGCACTATTGCATATGATTAGCAGCACTCCATATCACATATAATCAACTTTTCACCATTCCATGAGCAGTGACATTAAAGATCCTTTTTTATTCTGTTCCATTCTGAATGTAATATACTGTCAGAAAATGTTTGCTTGCCTTTCAAGTTACATTTAATGGAAGTACACCTGATACATTCATTGAAAGCTGATCATATGTGATGTGGGGGTGGTTCTGGAAAATAAACCTCACTGTCATGTTGGGGCCCCTTTAAGACTCTCGGTAACATGTGACTAAAATGTCACATATGAGCCATTCAAACACGATTTACTTCACAGTAAATTCATTTGCATGCGAAGCCCTGGTTGGCTGGGTTATGAAGGCAGCGGTTAAGCTAACGACAGCTACAGGGTGTTGCAATCGAAAAGCCTGTAAACCTGCTTCACGTGCTTGTTTACCCACCCAGATGGAAACATAAAGCACTGTTACCTTTAAGATGTATTAGAACATTTGTATTAGGTAAATTTCAGACTTTAGGCTGCGGCTGTTTGTTCTAAAGTATAATGACCCTTAATATTTTGCTGTTTAATTGGTCTGTAAGCCATTTCCACACATGAGTCAGTGGTTTGTATCTGTAGGCCTGAAAAATGTTTCTGTATCTTGTGACATTTTGTGTGTGTCTGCATGGGCTCAGGTTACAGTGTGACAAGGACTGTGCTGCTCTGGAGAGAAACAGGTGAGCCAGCTGCCCTTCAGTATGTGCTATGATGATGACTGTATTGTTTTCTTTACAATTTGAAGTTAGATGTCAAAGATCCTTTGATGTGTCCCAGTGCTTATATTACACAGCATAATCATACTGTAATCATGTATTTCTGCATGTATGGCAATTGGCACAGTTCTGTGTTATATGCCCTTGTCTCCTGCAAGGCGATTGGCTGAGGCCCTGCAGATCGACCAATCAGCAGATCCTTTCAACATCCGGTCCAGCTCCAAATACAGTGACAGCCTCAAGGATGATGCCAGGTTTTCACCTCCTAATTATCTTTTCTGTGTTCAAAACATTCAGATGTTTTAGTTGCTTTTGGACTGAAATTCCTGAGCAGCTTTGTTATCCACTGTGAGCCAAATGTCACTTTATTGAAAGACTTTTCTCAATACCTGGAAAATGCATTATTGGAGATAGCAGTGTTGCCTCACACCACTGGGACCAGGGTTCGAGTCTCTTTCAATGCTCCATGTGTGTGGAATCTTCATGTTCTCATGTCGTCATTGGGTTTCCTCCAGGTACTCCAGTTTCCCCCCACATTTGAAAAACACACTGAGGTTAACTGGCGTTACCAAATTTTGTGTGTGTGTGTGTGTGTGTGTGTGTGGGGGGTGGTGTGGGTGGTGGGTTGGAAACCTGAAAACCTGGCAGCTGATAGTCTGCAGAGGTCAGGGAGTCATTGCCTGCATTCCAGGTATGTTGGTCACTAAACCTTAATTTAATGTGCTGTGGGGAAGAGCTTCAGAAATCATGGTAATATATATCAAAACTGGAGAAACTCACTAGCAAAGAGGCACAGTGGTCACAAGCTGAAGCTCACCTACAGAGATGGATGGATGGACAGATAGATGTATAAAGGATTATTTAATTCAAAAGGGTGACTAGATGCAGCTCTGTCCTTTAACCCCAAGTGTGATGTCTTATTTTTGCAATACAGAAAAGATTTGAAGTTCGTAAGTGAGGTTGAAGAGGAGATGAAGAACTTAGTGGAACTTGTGAACAAGGTGAGAAATGCAAACCTGGCAGAAGCCGCCTTGCTGGAGGATCTAACACCAGGATGCCACCCCACCCCCCCCCGACTCTGTGTGCTGCTTTGGATTTGGATTTGGAACTCCAGTTCTGGACTAACCCTGTCCCCTGATGCAGGGTAAACAGTCAAAGAGAAGCCACTGCTTCCCCCCCATGAACCGAGATCATCGCAGGATCATCCACGAGCTGGCTGAGGCCTACAACATCGAATGTAATAGCTATGACAGCGAGCCCAAGCGCAATGTGGTCATGACGGCCATCAGGTGAGCCGGCGCCCCCTGCTGAGCAGACAGCCTCAATGGTAGGAGCTAATGGGGTGGGATGCTGTTTATGGTGACCTAATGGCCCAAACATAAACTGTGCTAATAGGTACATGTGTTATGTGCTCTTCCCTCCTTTTTTGCTTATTATGTGATGAAAGCCTGAAATGCTGTGATGGAAGGCTCTGATTTTCTATTACAATGTTGATATGCTGGACTGTTGGATGACCTCGCTGAGATGGGAATTTGCAGTTCTCCTGTTGCATGATGGTTCTCCAGTCACTAAAGTTAATGTTTCCAGAGGGAAGTCGGTCTGCCCCAACTCCACCCTGACAGCCCTGATCGAGAGAGAGATGGCTGCCCGAGCTCCACCACCCATCGCCCACGTCAGGCAGCAGAGCATCAGGTATGTAACCCTAATGAAGGCCTCGCGCTGGTATTGGGGTACCGACTGTGTATCCCAACCGAATACCTCACGCTCATACCGACCGTGTATCCCAACCGAATACCTCACGCTCATACCGACCGTGTATCCCA